TCATCATCATCATAACTTCCGCTGCTACCAACCAACTTCCACTTACTTTTAGATCTATCCGAAGCTGTTAGAGATCCGATTTGAAATGTGAGATTATGTTAGTGAATTTGCAATTTCCTCTTACATGCAACATGGGAAAATCTCGAACGGTGTTATCGTTCTTCCACGAGATCGAAATTTCCTTCGTTGGAATTTTCTTTCTCTCTTTTTTCTTTCTTTTCTTTTTTTTATTTTTAATCTAAAAACCTGAATTTCTCTCGATTTATTATGACTTTATTAAATTTAATATCATTCAGTCGTATTGTCATTCCAATATATAATTTTTATTCTCGATAATTTTCTTGATAATAACATTTATTTTTAACCATCCTCATTGTTCATTTAAACTTAATAATTTCAAGTAATTTATTTATATAATTAAATTAATTTATTTAATTGAATTATTCAATTATATAAATTAATTTAAATTAATACTAATTAATGATGTTTTCATTCTAATTTAATTTGTATTTTCTAATTTTTCTTTTTTTCTTTCTTTTTTTTTTTAACTAGAAGATTAATATTAATTAATACCGTTGTCAATTTAAATGAAATTTGTTTTCTGTTTCTTTTTTTTTTGTCTTTTTTTTTTTTAATTCTCTTCATACTTTAGTATGATAAAAATTATTTCTTTCCTTATTCCATTCTCTTTATCTTACTTTTTATTACTCTCTTTTTTTTTTTTTTTTTTTTTTTTTTTTTTTTTTTTTTTTTTTTTTTTTTTTTTTTTTTTTTTTTTTTTTTATGGAATTTAAAAGATACCTATGTAAAACGTTTGGGGAACGATGATATTATTAGAAATGACGACATATTAATTGCGAAAGCTCGTGGAAATTTAGACTGTGGTGAGTTATTCGTGATACATAATGATATCACGAAAAGGATATGAGTCAGCTCGATGCAATGGTACGCGTAATTGAAATAGAAGAAGTATCTTTAGCGACATGTCTTTTCGACAATACTAATCTGTTTTCTTTTATGTATAATAGGATGTGGTGGACTATAACCGGTACTTTTGGCAATATTTTACCAATCGACTGGAGCAAATCTTATGCAAGAAAAATGCACATGCCAGCATTGAATCTTAACGAGGCACCGATTTCATTGGAAAGGTATAGATTAATAAAAAAATAAATAAATAAATAAATAAGAAAGGAGTAGAAGAAATTTCTTTTTTTTTTTTTTTTTTTTTTTTTTTTTTTCTTTTAACTTTACCGTCATTTATCTTTTTGTTTTCTCCCCATTCGCTTTAGACCAGAATTAGAAGATTTAAGTAGCGAGGACGAAGCTGTAGCAACGGATTTGGATATGCACGCATTAATATTATCTAGCAGCACCGATACTCATAGCCCAGAGGAACCCTTGAAAACAGCTGAAGAGGTACTTCGTGAGATAGATGACATTATGCAGGTAAAATGTTCTTGAAAAATCAACGATCACAATGTTGTCCAATTAATGAGAAATAATGATCTAACATTTACTACTCTTCTTTGTCCTCTTTCGTTTTCCTTTTTATTTTTTATTTTTTATTTTATTTTTATTTTTATTTTTTGTTTTTATTATTATTTATTTATTTATTTATTTATTTATTTATTTATTTATTTATTTTTCTTCTTTTTTTTTATGAATATTTTAGGAGAGTCCGTCTATGGAAAGATCACCTGATTCCGATGGTTCCTTGCTTGACAGCGACGAGGCATTGGAAAGGAGTAGAGAAGTTCTTGGCTCGCCATTACATGAGAAAAGTATGGGGAGAATTTTTTTCTACTGTTTCTTCTTCTTTTACCTTTTTAAGATAAGATTCTTCAAGTATAGGGAATGTATGTATGTATGTATATCCTTTTTGAATTAACTATCTACAAAATATTTTTATATTATCTTATCGTGTATTGTTAAAAACATTCTGGAGATATTTAAAATTATCAAATGGAAGACCCTCTGTATGTGTGTGTGTGTGTATATGTGTGTATATCGTTTATTTTCAAGATATTACAAAATGAAAAAAAATTTCAGAATTAAAACAATTGACTTCGAATCAACTTACCGAACTATTCGGAGAAATGGAATCGCTTGTTGGAGCATTGAGCGAGACTCTCGTAGCTGAACTCGCATTAAGAGATGAGCTGGAATACGAAAAGGAATTGAAGAATCAATTTATCTCGCTTTTGTTGGCAGTACAAAATCGACGAAGACAGCATCACGTTACAAAGAAGAAAAACCAAATGCAGAATGGTACTAGTCCGTTACCGCAGCATAGGTCATTGCAAGAATCGAAATATTTGACCACTGTTATTCCATATCACACGGACAGCGGACCACCGAATAATCAGGCTCTGCAAGTCCTTATTAAAAGTAATTCAATCCAATATTTTTTGTTTTTTTTTTTTTTTTTTTTTTTTTTTTTCTATTCGTCGAAATAACTGTTCTGATTTAATCCTAGTTGTGTGTAAACCTCAAAATAATTTCAGTTTTGTATACTTAAATTAAGTCGTTCACTTAAGCGTTACACCACCAGGCAACCTCGAACAGCTGTCATTTATATAGAATGAGGAATTAATTTTGATCTCAAAAAGAAATACTGTATATTTTTTTGAAGCCTCGGAAATAATAATTAATTGATTCGAAAACGTATTTACAATTGTGTCATTATAAAAAAAAGAAAAAGAAAAAAAGAAAAAAAAATCATGAATCAATGCAATAACGCAAATTGTTTTAATTGAACCCGAAATTGGTCCGGGGATGACCTTATACACCACAGACACAATTAGGATTAAAGTTAATATTCTTGTTAGACTCGATCGATCATTAAAAGTAAAATTTATAGCTTTAAAGATTTTATACGTATAATTAAGATTAAGAATAATGATAGTAAAAAACAAGAAATATGCATCTTTATTATTGTAATGTATATCTTTTCTTTTTTTTTTTTTTTTTTTTTTTTTTCTTTTGCAGTATTGAAAGCAATTAGCGAAGATAGTCCAACTGTACCAACTTTGCTAACAGATTATATTCTCAAAGGTAAATAATGAATTCTTAATGACATATGAAGAATAATTATTTTAGAAAAAAGATTACTTGATGTTTGTATCTTTCTGTTTTAGTTCTCTGTCCTACTTAGTGAGTGTGTACAGTCGATTTTCTTCGGAGATACTCAAAAGTCCAAAACAATGATTGCTCTCTTCTTCTTGCCAATGCTCTGCAACCATCATCGTACCGCATGCGTTGTATTTGAAACAACCATTCTTGCTTCTGAGTTGTACTTTAATATTACACTCGATGTGTATTGGCTGTAGGATTAGAAGTGGTAACCTGATATTCTCATCTAGTCTTAATTTATATACATATATATATACATATATATATATATATATATATATATATATATATATAAATATATATATATATTTATATATTTATATATAAAGGATAGATCACGGGAATGTTCGTGATTTTGAATGATATTCGGAACATTGCTTAAGATAACAGGAATATTTATTATATCTTTAAATAAAACTACAGATTTTGAAGAATTATAGAACATGATAATATTTCATTTAAAATTTCTCTTATGGGAGAGAACGTTCGTTGAATGTTTATCATTCTGTTGAAGACTTTCTAATGTGTTCAGCGCGATTGAACACATTAGAAATTGATTGATTACAATATACAACACTTTCTAACTGTTCTCTATAGAAAAATCTTTTTTCAGGTTGCATTATCTACGAATTTATCGATCTTATATATATATCACCAGATTTTTGAATTTGACAAATCAAGATTTTTTTATGAGTACATTTAAAGAATGTTGTGTATCGTAGTCGATTAGCCAATTTGATTAAATTAGAAAATAATGTTTCGTCAAGTCATTAGCCGGTATATCGTCGTTGTGCAATATTTAATGTGTTCACTCGCACTCAGAAGTATCTCCAACAGAATAGTATACATTTGATGGAACGTTCCTTTTCGTATAAGGCATTTGAAATCAACTATTATTCATATGTTATAATTCTTCAAAATCTATAGATTTATTTAAGCTATAATAAATATTCCTCTCATGTATAGCAATGTATTCAATATCATTTAAAGTTCCTTAATTTCCCTTTGACTCGACCTTTATGTATTTATATTTATATATATAAATACATATATATATATATATATGTGTGTGTGTGTACGTTTAATCTGTATATTGTTTCTCATAAGATTTATCACAAGTGTACATGTTTTATGGAACTACTGTGATGCATATTTATGCATAATACAAAATATATTCATTTATATATATTTATATATGACATATATATATATATATATATATATATATATATATATATATATATATATATATATATGGCATATATATGACACCACACGAGATTTGTATTGGTTCAGTTTTTGTAATCTTTTGTATATATAAAAAGAAATGAAGACGATATTATATCCGGATCGGAATTTATGGCAGTAGTTAAAAAGAATTAAAAATATAAATTACTTACAAATGCAAGCAAAAGCTACTTGTAGAATTAGTTTCTACTCAAAATTGCACATACATTTCTTAAGCCTAGTGTGTAAATTGTTGTAACGCCAGTATGTTTAGAAATAATCGATCGATTAAGAATGTTACGCGCAAGAGAAAACGAAATAAATAAATGAATAAATAAAAGAAATCGCAATGCTAATAATAACAGCTAGATTCAGTTTTTTTATTCTCTTCTTCAATTTGCTCCCATGCACCAACAAACGTCGTTGATTCGTTCTTACCAGTATAAAAACGAGTATGCGGTATAATTCTTGAACGATTTCGATGAACAAGGTCTCATTTTAAAAATGAAGGTTCAAGCAAGAATATGATTTTTTTCAAACTTTCGAAAAAGTTTTTTCTTTGAAAAAAAAAAAAAATCTAAATACAAAAATTTTTATCATAGACTAACTCAATTCTTAGGTTATGCATAAGAGGTATATAATTCCTTGTTTGCGCTTATAATTCATATTTTGTCCGTACTTGTCGCTGAAGTTGCTTATATCGATCTCTTGCCTCTCTATGCCATATAAGGGAGTGATGCTGTAAAAATACTACTATATACATGTAAATATTTGACACATGTTAATATATAATTTTTCAAAATAGTTGGTTCGAAATAGTTAATAGCTTTTTTTTTTAATATTTACGTTATCTACATGATAATATTTTTATAAATTACTAAACTAATAAATCAGGAATCGTACAGATATGACGTAACCTCAAATTTTCGAGGCATCATTATAAAGGTAATGTTGGGAATTAAACAATTTTTTTTGTTTTAATTTCTCCTATACAAATATAATTTAAATTAATAAATTAAGGAAATGAAATCAGTTTCAGGTAAAATTTGTGTTAGAATAAGAGAATAATCTTTTTTTTTTTTTTTTTTTTATATATCAAAATATAAAGCATTTCAGTAACTTTGTGTATAACACAAATCATTTATTTGATGCAGATGATCTCCCTTAAAACGTTAGCAAAAATTGCTAGTATTACTGGTTTTGTAGTAGCTGGAATGGGATATGCATTTCGCTTCAAATTACAGAATGAGCTTCGTGAAATTGAACTGTATAAAGATGGAATGCAATATTTATACAATCATCCAAAAGCATTAGATTTATTAGGAATTCCAATACAAGAAAAAAGAGTGAATATAAGTGATGAGAAAAAAAATGGATCAGAGAAAAATATTACTTGGCTTACAGTTCCTGTCAAGGGATCTGAAAAATCTGGGGAATTACGTATCGAAGCTTTTATAGATGAAAATTCGGAGAAAAAATTGATTGCCAATATTTATAAGGTAGAACTGACGATTAAAGAAATACCTAATAAAGTGTTTGTGATCAAAGATGACAGTTCATTTGTGCCAAATATATCATAGTTAGATTTTTTGTATATTAATTATAAAAAATTACTCTAATGTAATCAATATTTGTTTATGTATATAAAAAAAAAAGGACATGTATGTTCGCATTAAAATAGATATTTATTTCCATGTTATCTAAATGTTTGTAATGGCATATCTGTAATGCCTTTAGGAACTTTCAAACCACGTCTAGTATATCCTAAAGCAGCTTGTATAATATATATTGCAGCCTCTGTAGTTAATTTAACATCACGTTGATCACCGATATAAGGATTTACTTCCACTAAATCAATAGCATTTAATCTATGCGTCCTATGCACTTCTTCCATTATATGAATTGCCTCTCGAAGAGTTAATCCACCACGTACTGTTAAAAAATAAACAAGATAATGTTTATTTATAATATAATTCATAAAATTTGTATTAAATTATAAAAATTTTATGTTACATACCTGCAGTTCCTGTACTTGGAGCTTCTAAGGGATCTAGAGAATCAATATCAAAACTAACATGCAATGATTTTACTCCTTCAGGATCAATTCTATCCAATGCCATAGAAATTGTATTATGAATACCTGAAATAGATAATTTATAGTAAAGATAAAGATGAAAGTTCAATTTAGAAAATAAAGATTACCAAATCTTTCAACATCTTCCATTCCAAAAGCAGAAATACCAAATTTTTCAATAACTAATCTTTCATAACTATCTACAGATCTTAATCCAATGTAAGCCACATTTCTAATAGATAACCTGTAATTATATATACACACATTATATATGTTCTGTCATAGAACATAAATTCGTTTCACGTTAAAATAAATTCATATTTATTTAATGTTTAAATAATTAAAGACATAATATATAAAGTTACATTGGTTGTTGCCAATCCATTCCAGGTAAATGTGGCCAGTAATCAGAAAGTTCAGTTGTTAATAATGCTACAGGCATTCCATGAACATTTCCACTTCCACTAGTTTTATTAGTATTTAAATCAGCATGCGCATCGACCCATAGTACTGCAACATCTTTCATTGCCTATAGTGATAGAAAGTTAGTTTAATATCTATTATATATTATTCGTTGAAAATAAATCATTTTTTTTTTAAAACATACTTTAACATGACCATCTATAGTACCAATGCCTACGCTGTGATCTCCTCCAAGTGTTAATACACATCGGCCATCTTTTAATATTTGTTGAACTTGTTCAGATAAAAGTCTAGTACATGCTGCTACATCTCCTAAATGTGTCATATTATTAACATCACTTGTATCTTTTGCTTCATATTTTATATCTCCATAATCTTGGACATCTAAGCCTATTAGAAATATATAATTTTTAAGTAGATCTATAATTTAAATATTTACAATGAAAATTAATTACCTAATATTTCTAATTCTTTTATAAGACCAGTTTCTCTAATTACTTTAGGACCTAGAGCAACACCTTCCTTTCGCTACAACATATTGAGAAAAAGAAAGAGTATTTAATATTTATAATTTATTCATAATTATTATCAATAAAATGAGATATTATAATTTAAATATACCTGTCCTTTTTCAAAAGGCACGCCAATTATACCAACTTTATTATAATTACGTGTACTAAACATTCTTATAATCGTTCGAAATTGAGGTAACATTTTGTTTACACGTTCTATCTACGATATACGAATGAAACTTTAGATGAATATTTTTTTAGAACTATCGAGATTATTACACTTTGACCTATAAATATGATAAAACATGTGCAGCATCTTATAAAAAAGATGTATTACAACATATTTCTGATATGATACTAATGCCGGTTACGCAACATACTTAGTATTGACTTCGTTTATAATCCATATATATTCTCGTTAAAATTTATATAAAATGCTATTAAACTAACGATAAATAAATATTTATTTAATTTTATCAATTACATTTAATTATACATGTTAACAATTACAAATATAAAACTGTGATTGTTGATAATAGATGGTATTATAATCAAGATTTTAATGTTATAGAACATTTTTTTCAGTGCTCTTTTGTATAAAGGGAAGAATTCTCTATAAAAAGAAAAAAAAAAGAAAAAAAAAAAAAAAAAAAAAAAAAAAAAAAAAAAAAAAAGAAAAAAAAATGTATGTACTTTTCAAAATAAGCTATTTCAAAAATAACACATTTTATGTTATTTTCTATAAATTTATTTAGGTCCAAGCATATTTTCAGGTCTGACCCATTGATCAAATTGTTCAGCAGTTATTCCATTTTTCAATGCAGATTCTTTTAAAGTACTTCCTTCTTTATGAGCCTGTTTAGCGATAATAGCAGCCTAAAAAATATTTTTTGTCAAATTTATGAATCACATTAGTTTATATTAATTATTATAATGAAACAAACGTACCTTATCATATCCAATGTGTGGATTAAGAGCAGTAACTAACATTAAGCTTTCGTTCAATAATTTGCTTATATGATCCTTATTTGCTTTTATTCCAACAACGCAATTCTTTGTAAACGATACAGCAACATCTCCTAATAATCTTGTAGATCGTAATGTATTGGCTACTATTACTGGTTTAAATGCATTAAGTTCGAAATGACCATTACTTCCAGCAATAGATGTGGCAACAAGATTTCCCATCACTTGACAACAAACCATTGTAACTGCTTCGCATTGAGTAGGATTAACTTTTCCTGGCATAATTGAACTGCCTGGTTCATTTTCCGGTAAGGATAATTCTCCTAAACCGCAGCGAGGACCACTTCCCAAAAATCGAATATCATTTGCTATCTGATAAGTGAATAAAAATAAGTTTATACAAACTGTATGTTACATAATATAAAAAAAAAAACATATATACCTTCATCATAGATACGGCAACGGTATTTAATGCACCATGTACTTCAACCAGAGCATCATGCGTAGCAAGACCTTCAAATTTATTTGATGTTGGGACAAATGGTAAATTAGTTAACTTAGCAATTCCTGCAATTGCCTTTTCACTAAATCCTTTTGGCGTATTTAATCCTGTCCCAACTGCTGTACCACCTAATGCTAATTCATATAACCGTGGAAGAGTATCTTTAACTCTACAAATTCCATTTTGAATTTGTGTTGCATAGCCTAAAATTAAAAATCTTATATTAGATATATGCTAATCAATTTTCAATTATTTACATTTCTTTGATCAAATTTTAAACCTGAAAACTCTTGTCCCAATGTAAGAGGTACTGCATCTTGTGTATGAGTTCTTCCAATTTTAATTATATCCTTCCATTCTTCTACTTTTGATTTTAATGCCTCTAATAAACATTCTAAACCTGGTAGAAGTACTTTGTTAATTTCTAATGCTACAGCTATGTTCATTGCACTTGGAAATGTGTCATTAGAACTTTGTGACTTGTTTACATGATCATTGGGATGAACTGGTATTTTTGATCCAAGTTTTCCACCAAGTAATTCAATTGCGCGATTGGAAATCACCTATTTAACATATTTTTGAGAGAGAGAGAGAAAAAAATAAAGAAAAACTATATGAAAGCATTACAAGTATATTATAGAAGCTTAAATATGTTAAGTTAAATATGAAAAACAAACCTCATTAACATTCATATTTGTTTGAGTTCCAGAACCTGTTTGCCAAATCACTAATGGAAAATGTTCATTATAAAGTTTACCACTTATAACATCATCAGCAGCCTTACTAATAGCATCAGCGATTTTTGGGTCCAACCCAAATTCTTTATTTGCTTCAGCTGTAGCTTTCTTTAATATTCCCATTGCAACAATAATACCATACTAAAAAGATTAATAAATGTTTATAAAAAAAAAAAATTATTAATACTAAAAATTAAATATATTAATATAACGAATATATATTTTTATAAGAATTTAAATATATATTATATTATAATAAATATATATAATAATAAGTATATATTATATTAAATTATATTATATATTGTTATATAATATAACAATATATCTTACAGGCATGCGTTCAAATGAATCTCCAATGGCAAAATTCATCATCGATCGTACAGTCTGTGCTCCATAATACTTATCATTAGGAACTTTTAATTCTCCAAATGTATCTTTTTCAATTCTGTATCCTTGTTTCTCACAATTCTGGAAAAATGATTGAAAGCTTAATATATTAATAAAAACAATATCATACAATTATTTATAAAAGTAATTTTACCATCTTTGAGTTAGTTGATATATATTAATAATAACAATAAAAAGTATATGTTTATCTCAATATGGAAGCTGTGGAAGTGAAGGATAAAAGAATATGTAATAATGTGAATTATGAGATAAATGGTAGAATAAATGTTGGTGATATATGTGACCATACATAATCAGTATTATATAGAGTGATTAAACTGTTCACAATTTATATGGACAAAAGCAATTGCACATAAATAATATAGATAATATTTTATAACTTTTGAAATAAGATAGATTAATACTTAAGTGATTTCTTTTTCTTTTCTTTTCTTTTTTTTTTCTTTTTTTGTAGAAAATTTTAAAGAAATATGTACGGATTATCCAACTTTACATAATTTATTGAAGATAATTGAAAAGAGATTGCTAGATCATTTGTTTCGCTTTGTCTTTTTTTTTCTTTCTTTTTTTTTTTTTTTTTTTTTATCATTCAAATGACAGAGACATCTTTATTAAATATTAATTAACATATCATATCCTTTTTAACACAAATATTATACACTAAATAAATAAATAAAAATCGATATCCTTTTAGAAACGCCGTGAACAATTTTATCTTAAGTTGGCACTTGAATGATTACATAAAACCAGCATCTCATTTGTTATCACAAGAAAAATACTAATTTCCACTTTTTTTTTGTTCCTTTGTAACACGGGATAAAAGAATCTTTGATATATGTTTTGTTTTGTTTTTTGTTTTTTTTTTTTAATTATATATCACGTTTATATCGTTACAATGTCATTCAAATTTAATTTAATACCTGTCTACTGTTGCACGTTCGTGATGTGCTTAAGGACAATCTTAAATTAAGAATTACTGGAAGATCTTTGAAATGACAAAGATTGAAAATTCGGGACTTGAAAATATTTAATGCCATTTTTTTTTTTATGGGTTTACTGCTATTTAAATTAGTTCACTATTTATATATACATATATGTATATATATATATATGTATATATATATATGTATGTGTGAATAAACGTGATGTATCTCTGAATGTCTCTTAATTTTTCTAAAGGAGACGATGAACGAAACGGCACTTATAAGATAGTCAATAAGATTGAACGGAATGTATACTCGTAGAAATAATAAATAATTCGTGATTGTGTTAACAGGCGGCGCTGAAGTCGACTATTATACAATTTTGGTTAATTTTTGTTTTGTTTCGTTTTTCTTTTTTTTTCCTTTATTTTATTTTATTTTTTTTTTTTAACGTATTTCATTATTTTAAGTAATTATTGATCGAAGATTATTAATATACACGTAGAAGATAATTAAATAAATATTAAAATTTATATATTTCATGGGAAATAAATCACTAGAAAATAAATATACAATGGATATGATTGAAAAGTATAGGAGATGGTAATACGTGAGATGTAATTTTTCTTTTCTCTTTTTTTTCTTTTTTTTTTAAGTAAAAAAAATATAAATTTATACGAAAAAAAATTATTTCGAATTTTTCTTTTTCTTCGTAAAGCTTATTTTATAAATTTAATAGGGAATTTATTCCGGCGGAAGTCGTACCTTCATTGGAAATATATCCCATCGTTTATAATACTAATTATATTTTTTTTTTGAACACGAACGAATGTTTACGTTACTTGAAAGTTTTATATATATCGTTAATATCAATGTGTAAAATAAATAAATAAAGACAATAAATAAAGTGTATCTTCAATATGTATCAATAAGATGATGATAACTTTTATAATTGATGATTTTTCAATTGATATTTATGTGTAAATCTAATAAAAGTATATATATTAGAAAAATTATTGAAGATGAGTGTAGATACTACGTTACATAACAACAAATGGTAAATGATAATACATTTTTTTTTTATTTTTCTTTTGTAAAATTATTACAATATCTATCAAATAGATAAAACATGAATGTATTTATACGCATATACAGCCAAACTAATAGTATCAAATGCAAAAGATCAACGTATATGGATTGGGATGAATATTTTATGGCCGTAGCATTTTTAGTTGCAAAGCGTAGTAAAGATCCAATTACTCGTGTAGGAGCTTGTATAGTTGATAATGATAACAAAATAGTAGGTGTTGGATACAATGGTATGCCCAGAGGTTGTAGCGATGATATATTTCCTTGGGAAAAAAATTCTGTCAATAAATTGAATGAAAAAAGGCTATACGGTAAGAATATGGCATTGGTATTATATTATTTTAAAATTAATTAATTAATGATAATAATTTATCTTTACAGTGTGTCATGCGGAAGTTAATGCTATCTTGAACAAAAATTCTAATAAATTGAAGAAGTGTAGAATGTACGTTGGTCTTTTTCCATGTAATGAATGTGCAAAAGTAATTATACAATCTGGATTGAAGACTATTATTTATATGTCAGATAAATACAGTCATAAAATTAAAACCATAGCAGCAAAAAGAATGTTTGATGCCGCAAAAGTTATGTACATGTATGTTTTTAATTTCTTTTTTAAACTATTATACTTAATGGATATTTAAAATATTAAAATTTATTTTGCCTTTTATTATAGACGATATATACCTAAGAACGATAAAATTGTGATTGATTTTAATGAAATTAATTGTTTTTCAAATATGAAAAATTTGGTATCTGACGTTGTTGAGACTGACTGTGACGTACAGAATCACAATGATAACTATTGTGATGTATCAACTTTATCATTGGAAAATGATAAAAGTTCGACGAGTGCAGAGAAAATCGATGAAACGAGCGAAGAGAGAAAAAAAATTCAATTGAAATGAAAAGTTTAATAAAATAATATTTTTATATTGATTATGTATATATTTGTTTATTTATTATTTATTTTCTTCTTGACATGGTATAGGTCAAATCTTATTTAAATAAGAAGTCACCATGAAGTCACAATTGTGACTTACTGCTGCAAAGATTGGTATTCTCAGAAATATCAGTCAATATTTACATATAAAATTTAATGAAGAATAGGTACAAACGCAGATAGAGAATACCATTTCTTTTAATTTTTTTTACACATATAGTTTAGTTTTATTTTCCACTTTTATCGGTTTAGTGGATATGTAAGAAATAAATAAACTAATGTACAGAAAATGAATTAATTTTTGTAATAATACAAGTATAATATTAAGTATATATAACACAGTAGTTTTTCTTTTATGAATTATCTGCTGTACAAATGTAATGGATGAGAAAGGATATAGTATGGCATGATAGAAGCATGTAGTACAACTTCTTTGAAACAGTAAAATAAGGACAATTGAAACTACATGTTTAATGTCTCTATATCGTTATAGTAATAGAATGATTCTAAGTCCAAAATTTTATATATTTTTATATATATATATATATTTATTTATATATATATATATATATAAGTATATATGAATATGCTTATGTACATACTATACATGTGAAAATTCATTAAAATTTAAAATGTCTTTTCTTTCTTTTTTTTTTTGTCGTTTGTTAGAAATTTAACAAGAAAAAGTATATTATGAAAAAGGACTGTTCCATGAATTAACTGTATGAAGAAAAGTGTACATAATAATTTTCTTTTTCCATAAACATTGGAACAATGTAATTTATATAGGATATAGGTAAAATATTTACATCTATATCTTATCTAAATCAAGAATCAAGGCAAGGACTAAAGGCAAATCTGGATTTAACATCTGAAAAATATGTGCGATCCTTACTCAGCATTATTTATTTTTCTAAATTATTTATGAGCGTGATAGAAATTTTCATGACCAGAGGTAACAACTTTCGATAAAGATTGGAGCAATTAATATATAAACCTTGTTTGAGAGATTGAACAGTCACATATAGAAGTTGCGTTGTATACTAAAAAAAAAAAAAAAAAAAAAAAAAAAAAAAAAAAAAAAAAACGAAAAAAAAAAAATCAAAAAAAATAAGAAAAAAAAAGGAAAAAAAAAATATATATATATATATACCAAAACGAATAACATAACAGTTAACGCATTAATTCATCGATAAAGATGCATCGTTGGGAACTTACGAAGAAAGATGATACTCGATGTATCATAGAATTTCGAAGGAAATTTTCTACACTGTATAGAAATATTTAATATATAATTCGTTATTCAAGCTGTGACAATATGTATAATGATCAGATGACTACCGATGAAAACGAATGATACTTACAGATAAGATGCTTATTTGTAGCATTAATTGCATAGCCCTGAGAACACATACCATGCATTTACAAAATGAACAGCTTTTTTTCTTTGTTTTTCTCTTTTTTTTTCTTTTTCTTTTTCTTTTGCTTTTTCTTTCTTTTTTTTTTCTTTTCTTTTTTTTTTTTCTTTTTAAAAGTTGTGTGTATCGTTTTGCGATTATTTGATAATATTTTCATACAAGATTCCATCGATTTCTATATCTTTTATATTCGATATTTAGCATTTTCAAATTGTGGGAGGATAGACTTTAAGTATAATAAATATTGTTAATATTATAATTGATTACAATTGGACGTAGCTATCTTACGAGACGTTCGCGAATTTACCATGGAGCGAGTATGTGAACCATAGCACGTCCATACAGAATAATAATTTCTCGACTGAAAGAAAAAAAAAAAAAAAAAAATTATATCCTACTATACCATGGAAAATAGATAGAGACTGGAGATAGATTATATATTGGCAAAGTATTGCTGGAAGTATGTACAAAGATTATTATTATTATTATTATTATTATTATTATTATTATTATTATTATTATTATTTTATTATTATTATTATTATTATTATTATTATTATTATTATTATTTTATTATTATTATCATCATGATCATGATCATGATCATGACCACTGTCGTCATCGTAATCTTCATCGTCATCATCATCATGAATATCATCGTTAACATTATCGTTATCGTTATCTTGGTAATTATCATTCTACGATATCGATGTCGTTTTTTAAACTGAGAAACCTTCGCTAAGAAAGAATCGTAACTTATGAGTATCTATTTAAATATCTCAGACGAAAGCGAGGTAATCATAAAGATTCTCGATTTATACCGGTAGGCTTCACTGTTATTTTTATTAAAACTCCTGTAATCCTGTTAACACATACAGATGCATGATATTCGTTTATCGACACTTATTGATTTCAATTTATAAGATACTTTGGTAATTTGCGTATACAATACGCACAGTTTAATGATTCTTAATAGTAACTTTCACAGAGACTTTCGTAGATGAGCACAACTACTTTTTCATTTAATAAACTGTTCGATGGAATATCATCAGGGTCTCCAATCAAAACGCAGATCATTACCCTGAACGAACGAACGAACTAATCAAACACGCGTGTGTATTTTCTTTGTTTATTTATTTATGTATGTATGTATGTATGTATGTATGTATGTATGTATGTATGTATGTATGTATGTATGTATGTATGTATGTATGTATGTATGTATGTATGTATGTATGTATGTATGTATGTATGTATGTATGTATGTATGTATGTATGTATGTATGTATGTATGTATGTATGTATGTATGTGTGTATGTATGTGTGTATGTGTATCTGTCTGTCTGTGTCTGTTTATCCGTGCATGTGTATGTATATTTTGTTTTCTAGAGAAGAAAAAACATTAGAAATATCGCATATTCACTTGATTTAACCAGTTCACAAGATGATGTAAGACGAACCAGAAGAATTAGTCAGTTTATACGATATGGAACGAGGTCCATTCAACTGCAGCGACGGACATGCATGGTACAGTTTTAATCGATGCTCGATGATAGTCTAAGTTTACGCGGACTCTACACAGTAGAGTGTAATATTTAGGCATCGCTGGAGACAGTACATCCCTTAATATTTGAGTAGAAATACTCATTAAGCGCGCGCGTTATGAATGTATACAAGTCTTGTTTGTTTGTTTCTTTGTTTCTTTGTTTTTTTTTTCTTTTTTTTTTTTTCTTTGTACCAATACGTTAGTCTTGCACGTCTTATTTTACACACTGCACCGCTCCCCATTCCCTAACCCCTTTCCTATCCACTTCTCTATAAACCCCCTCCCCCCCACCCCCATCCCTCCCTACCCACCCTACCAAGTACACTGTTATTAATATTCTTCACTTTTATAGCCAGTCCTCTTACGGTAATATTTAAGATCGTCGAGCTCTTGAGAAACTAAGAGCATTTTGATCAATTTGTTCCAATTCTTTCATTCTTTCTTTTCTTATATTTTTTCTTCTATAATATTAATCTATGCCAGTCCTTCTGTTAAATTATATTAAAATTCGGGACCTTATTTAGGAGTCTCTCTCTCTCGGTGCCGTCACATCTCGTCTTATTACAATTGATTAAGTTTCTTTATCCAGCACCGTTCCAGCCACTGTTCCATTCACTGTTTTACACTATATGTAGAAGATCTAGGAACAGCCATGGACCTATGGTACATACTGTCGCTACTTGTCTCATTGATTATTCGCCAATTCTGTCTCTCTCTCTCTCTCTCTCTCGCTCTCTTTCTCTCTTTCTCTCTCTCTCTCTCTCTCTCTCTCTCTCTCGCTCTCTCTCTCTCTCTTTCTCTCTTTCTCTCTCTCTCTCTCTCGTTAATTTTTAAATTGAATAATTTTTCTTTTTTTTCGTTTTTTTTTTTTTTTAAATCTTTCGACGTAGATCGATAAGTTTCGATATTTCGCCTCTCACGATTGCCTCGCCTAACTACGTAGTAGCAAGCCAGTGACGACGCTAGATAGCGCGTACCTGGATCAGTTCTTAATAGAATTTTCCTTGTCTTGATGATTGGCAGTAGGTTTTGTTTCCTGCAGCCGAAACGCAGTAGCGTACGGGAAGAGTTTGTGACATTTTGATATAAATTCGGCTATCGTACTGTCGCAGTAACCAAAGTCACCGTTTTGCATAGATTCTAGCACCTTCGTGCAATTCTTAAGCGTCACATTTTCAAGTTCATCCGTATTCGTAACAAGAGACAAGGCTCTCGCTTGAGCCGACGGGTCTAAAAGATATAACATTCTTGCACCTTGAAGCAAATGCGGCAGAGAGTTCCTGTTTTTCTTCAAATATTCCGCATTCAATTGTACAGCCGTTGAATCTGAGAATATGTCTGCCGTTTGTCGCTTCACAACTTCACCTACTGCACCCTCCAATGACAAACGACTTGTATTCAATAAAAATCGCACCAAACACGTATGGAGATCTGGATTATTCGAGTCCAGCCTATGAGCACGCTTTATTGACCGCAACATTAATAAAGTACGACCTGGAAAAGATTTTGAATTAGTTCATTCATCGTCACCATCATCATCAATATTATCATTATAATCGTTGTCGTCGTTGTCGTTGTCGATATATTACTTGTTTTTAATTTTAATCCTCTATACAATCGTAATTTTTTCTTTGCATTTACACAAATTATAGTACTAATTATGTTTAAAAAAATATGTTGAATTATGAATATGAAGCGACAATTTAGTTTTTCATGATGAAATGAAAGAAAATTCTTTTAATGGAGAAAGAGGAGACATCATACTTGAAAATTATATAAATTAGAATATATATATATATGTTATATATAGATATACATAAGATATATAAGTTAGGAAGTTACTCTATAACACCATGCGTTATAAACACATATTCTACAATCTTGTGTTATAATTATAACACATGACGTATTATAGAAATTAAAAAAAAAAAAAAAAAAAAAAAAAAAAAAAATCGATAAAGCATCCCCCTTCATTTTTCACCCATTTCTATATTAATCCTCCCAATTGAAATTTCATTACCTTTACGAATGTAGATTTCAAAAGCCATTAGATGGGTTTCTATTCTATTTGCTGCTAGATCTTGAAGTGGTTGTAAAAACTTTATCGCTTGTTCCAAAGGATCCTCAACCTGAAAGTACATACATTCATCATTGATAAATCAAAACGAAAGGCTCGTTTGTAAAAATGATTGATAAAAAAAAAAAAAAACAAAAAATTATAAGATTATAATAATATACCAACCCTTTCCAATTTCTCTGGAATAAGTTCGTCCAATGTAGGTTGTTCTAAATCAGGATCTGTTTGTTGTCGAGACTTGTTATGTTGTTCCCTTTTTTCTTGAGCTTGGGCAGCCTGTTGTCGTTCTAATTCAGCCTTCCTACGTTGCTTTCTCTGTTTGTTCCTAAGCTTCTTCAACTCAGACGGTGCCAAATTTTCTGTTGACGATAAAAAGAAAAAAAGAAAAAAAAAGGAAGAGAAAGATTAAAAAAAAAAAAGAAAAGAAAAGGAGAGAGAGAGAAAGAGAAAGAGAGAGAGAGAGAAAGAGAGAGAAAGAGAAAAATCAATTTTAACTTTATCAAATTTTAAATGATTCAAATAGATAAGTAATGTTAAATTCAACGTTAAGATCTCTCGTTCGTTACTTCAACGCTGTCACTTTTACTCAGAGAATTTTATTAGCCAAGGTCAAGTGGTATACCGTGACCAGGTAGCAATTATTCGAATAGATTTCGCAAAGTCTTTCCAGTTTTTCCAAGAACGGAACGGAACGTACAGAGAAAGAGAGAAAGAGAGAAAGAGAGAAAGGTAGAAAGAGAGAAAGAGAGAAAGAGAAAGAGAGAAAGAGAGAGAGATCTACTGTAAGTGGTTTCGTTAGTGATTATATGGCATGCATGCACGTGTCTCGCGTCTTGTTCGATCACGTGCAGAGCTCCCCCCCCCCCCCCCGCCACCTCCCCTAAGTATTATACCGATCCCGATTTATACGTACAAGTGCCAGAAGTATAATAGAAAGGATCGTAATGATCGATCGAACGATGACCGATAATGTGACATACAAGGTGTACCTAATTATCTTTTCCGGTTATTAACCAACATGAAAACTGATTTGTACGTAATATAAATACTTTCAAAGATCCAAACGACAGGATGAGGAAATTTGTTTGATTTTTCTGCTTTTTTCTTTCTTTTCTCTCTTTCTCTCTCTTTTTTTTTCTTTCTTTCTTTTTTTTTTCTTTTTTTTTTTTTTTTAATAAATTTTTTAACTTCACTCGATTTTGTTTTAAATTGCACGGACAAATAATTCACAAGCAATCAATTCGAATGCATTCGATAATAAGATCTCTTAATAGTACAAAAGAAATTTGTTTTATATTTTGTTTGTGTTCGCTTAAAGTTTTCAATGTCATTTGAAAATATTCCTTGTTTGTAATGATATAATAAATTAATACTTAATTTGTTCGTATTGATACGAACAAATGATTTCTACGTAATTAATTTGCATACTACTTTCAATGATCCTTAATAGTGTAAAAAAAAAAGAAAAAAAAAAAAAAAAAAGAACAAAAAAATTTGTTCTATTTCTTTCTTAAAAATTGTTAACGTCATTCAATTTTTAATACTATTACAATTGAATTGATATATCCAATGTAAATAGGAAAAAGTTTCATTTACTTGTCTTATGCAAAACAAGTATGATCTATGTAAATATATATACCTACATATATATATATATATTTATGTATATAAATCGTTGCGTCATATGAATTCCACATGTTCGACGAATTTTAATTACTTTCGAATTAATAATGAACTTATAGAGCAACAAGGAAACACGCTTTCCAATTATATAACGAATAGCCGAAGTTTTATTAGCCGAGAGCACTGATATGCTCCGTAAATTCGGCCATAAATAGTATAGAAGTTGCCAAAGAAAGAGAGCTTCGATTTCATCGGCAAAGATATTTCCTGTTGGAGGATTGCATAAAAAAAAAGAATTATCCCTTTTTTCTTTTCTTTTTTACTTTTTTTTTTTTTTTGAATTTTTCCCTCTGTGCGAAATAAATAGATTGAATAGCGCGAAGAGAGAAAAAAAGATGTACAAAAATGTTTGCAATGCAGATTGTAAAACAAATTTTTCTGTTTTGTTTTTTTTTTCTTTTTTTTTTTGCAGTAGTTCACATTCTTTCTTACACAAATGGCAAAAAAAGAAAGTTTCAGAGTTATGATGCAGAATTTGATTCCTGTAGCATAAAAAAAAAAAAAAAAAAAAAAAAAAAATTTGTGGAAAATTAAATTATATTATTTACGCGAACGAATCTCACTTGTCAACAAATTCGATAAGAATGAAAATGTTGAATGTCGAATTGCGAAAATTGTCAATGGAAATGATCAATGTTGATTTATTTTTTTTTTTTTTTTTTTTTTGAATAATTCATTTTTCTCACAAGTGTTATACGAATACGGTAGATTTCGCATAAACTCGAATGCAACTCGGAGAGAAGAACTAGTCACGATCTCTTAATTAGAAATGGGTATGCAAGAATCGTATATCCTTGATAAAGAAGCAGAGAGGACCTTGCACGCTTCGTGAGTACGCGTAGGAATGTGGAGCAAGTATAGCTCGTAACCGGCACCAATGCGAAACATTTATGCTAATCGCATCCCTCGATAAAAGGCACGCGATTAGATGTATCTCGTGTATTTAACTCTCTAACACGTAATCTAAATTCTATTACTTTATAATCAATTATTGTTACTTATTCATTCCTTTTTCTTTTATCGAAAATAATTTAAACAATTTTTCTTTTAAACGTTTAAATACTTTTTCTAAATTATATATATGATTGACCAATTTTCAATATATTTTATATATAAATATAAAATATTTTATATCTAAATAAATAATATAAAATTTATAATTAATATCTGTATTTTAATTTGATAATAATATACTATTATATATAAAAAGAATATCGTATTGTAATTATATATTATGTTATATTATATATATATGTATATATAATATATATAATTAATATAATATAATATAGCATAGTATTGAGTTATATATAGTATATAATAGTAAAATATATAATAAACAATGAAGAAAGAAAGAATATATAATATTGTTAATTTAAATATAAAATATTAAAAATTTCAATTATAATTATTGGCCAACCCTATACATAATATACACATAAATCATTTATAATGTCTTACTATGTATTTATTATATTATCTTATTATCCTTTTTCTATTCTATAGTACAGAATATTAGTACACATTAATAACTTCTATATACTATTGAAAATCTGATAAGCAAATGATAATTATTTTCTCATCATTATGACAATGATGAAATGTAAATAATAAAAATTGAAAGTATCTAATCTGTTAAAAGATATATAAATGGTTCTTCATTCATATAGATATTAAATAATTATTACATGAAATTATTATAGTATAATAAATAATTGAATGTGAGAATTCTTTTAACTTAGAACATCTTCAGACTATAATCATTAATGAAAGTAACAATTGAAAAGCATGAGTCACATAGTTTAGTCATATTAACTATCTAATCATTATATTATTTTGTTCTCTATCGTTCTTACTCGAATCCCACAATGCTAATTCATCGGATATTTATCCCATAGTTTAATCCATTCCTTCCAAGAAAATTCTATGGGAAATTTTTCTAATCATTTTTCCTGTCCTTCCACATAAATATTATTCGATCACATATTTTTAATTCATTAATTTTTTATCGTAAAAATTTATTCATAAATTTATTAATGATATATTATATATCATTATTAATCGTTCTCTCGAAATATCTATAGATCTAATGATATTAAACAAAACGATTGGATTAAATGTAAATATTAAAATTTTTTTTTACCGAGTTTAATATGCGGCGAAATAATAATAATAATAATAATAATAATAATAATAATAATAATAATAATAATAATAATAATAATAATAATAATAATAATAATAATAATAATAATAATAATAATAATAATAATAATAATAATAATAATAATAATAATAATAATAATAATAATAATAATAATAATAGCTGCTTGAAAACAAATTGGATTTACTTTTTTTTGATTGCCAATTGACTGTTCAGTCAATAATAATCATGTGTTCTAAATTAGTGTTGTATATATATATATATATATATATATATATTTAAAAATAAAGTATTTTACGTATCCTAATATTTTCATAAACTAGAAGAATAGAAAATTTAGGATGTATAATTAAAAGAAATAGAAAATTAAGGTGTATAATTAAAAAAATCTTTAAAATCGATTAACTTTGTTTTTAAAATTATGCCGATAATTGACTTTAAAATGACTATGAAATTAATTTACGTGTAAAAATGAAAAATGTTAATGTCATTTAAATAACGTAACATATACTTTTGCAACGCACACGTCCATATTTTTTTCTTTTTTTTTTTTTATGTTTTTTTTTCCTAACAAGCGAAGCGAATCGTTCCTGATTTTTTTATTTCTTTTTTTTTTTATTTTGTGATTTTCAATTAATCGATCGAAGTCATTTAAGAAAGATTTAACTTTTAAAATGTATAATTTTGAATTGATCGTACGTATTGGTACCGTTATAATACAATAGAATCAATTTTATTTTAACGATTCGACGTAGAACTTCCCACACACTTTTCCATTTCGTAGCATTTACCGTCATGGCAGATTGTTAACGTAACAGGTACCTTGCGTTTCGAGGTAAAGCGAAATGAAATCGTTTATCCGGTTATTTTCAATGCAAGACCGCGCCTTCAAAACGTCTTGTTGGCGGTACCATATTGTACACGTGATTATTACTCCCACTTTATATATCTAAGTATAAGCCAATTGCTATAAGCAAATAATCATGACTGATCGAGAAGAATAATCGATTTCCTTTCATTTCGATAATTATATCTTTTTTTCATTATTTATTTATTTATTTATTTATTTATTTATTTATTTATTTACATATGTATACGTATGTATGTATTTGTTTATTTTTATTTTTTTTTTATGTAATATATATATATATATATATATATATATATATATATGTACAATCATACAGTGATAGACAAATGCAATCCAAAAGTATACATAAATATTGATTTTAATTGATGTAAATATTTTTATTGGTTTTTATTGGTTTTTATTTAATTTATTTTTCTTTTTTACGCAATTTTTACAGTATATATTTATTTTAATTTTTTTTTTCTTTTTATTAAGTAATAAATGACAAAGCTAACAGAGATATTGACAATATCAAAGTAATAATAATAATTAATGAAAGAGAAAAAAAAAGAAAAGAAAAAAAAAGAAAAGAAAAAAAAAAGAAAAGAAAAGCGATAGATTTAAATTTGCCAAGCAAAATAAGGACAACGATTAGGCAAAGT